GCGCAGAGTATAGAGTGTGTGAGGGATTTAAGGTGAACTGTGCCTTTAATAAGAGCAGGCGTGATGTGTGTATATCAGTGCCCCAGTAACACACATTAACACCAGCGCTGAGAGAAACACACACACACACACACACACACTTTAATGCAGAGAGACGGGAAACCATCAGTGCGGTTGCTAGGAAACAGCTTATAGAAGCCAACATGGCTCTTCAGCACAGCAGCAGCGGCGTGAGGATCACTGCAGCAGGAGAGGAGGAAGCTGCTTAACCAGCAGATCACTCACTACACTAACACTGCTGTAATCTGATGTGGTTCATCACAGATTGAGCATCATCATGCAGAAACTGCAGAGTTTCCCCTGTCGAGAGGCAGATGTGCTGATCATCAGAGGGAAATAACCCAGAGCTGGGCTAAATCCACATCTCCATAGGGTTATATAATTTCACCCAATCAATTGGGTAATTTGGGTAAACTGCTTGACTTATTAAATAAATAACTCAATAAAGGTTAAAAAATAACCCAACAAAGCACCAAATGTGTTTAACCACTCAACTACTGGGTTAAATAAAGTCCTCAGTGCTTGTCAGAGTGCAGCTCTCTGAAGCGGACCCTTCAGGCTGTGATCCTGCATGTGGGGTTTCAGTGACTGTCCCTTTAAATGCAAATGAGATTCAGAAGAGGGCGGAGCTACATATGCATATGCATAGTGACAGATGTAAAGCAGCAGTGTGTGTGTTGTGAGTGCTTGTCATGTGTGTATGTGTGTGTGTGTGTGTGTGTGTGTTTGTGTGTGTGTGTGTGTGTGTGTGTGTGTGTGTGTGTGTGCTTGATGCTTCTGTCAGTCTCTGTTGATCTTGAACTCCACATCTATAATCCTCTTAGTCTATGCTGACATCATCTTCAGCACACTCTAATGGATAATGAACAGACGGCTGCTTCTCACTCAGGCCTGCTGGACATGCTAATTAGATGAAGACTAGTGGGTGGGGCTTTCCCCCTCTGATGACACGTACAGCAGGAGAATGTCAATCACAGTGCTTCTGCATCAAGTCTGATTATAATAAACACAGTTCACTCATGATGAGCATCAGAGGCTGCTGGAGATACACACACACACACACACACACACACACACACACACTACTGTAGTTGAAGCCCTTATAAGCAGGAGGACGAGCTGGTGTCTCCAGGGTTCAGCGTCTGGCATGTCTGCACTCCACTGATGAATATTTTAATAATGGCGGTGTGAGAGTCTGGAGACTGACGCTGCTGGAGCTCTAACAAGCCCCTGTAGAGTCCCCGGGCCTGAAACCCCCCCAACACACAGCCTAATCTGCAGGAGAATCCCATTAGTGGAGCTGCAGGACTGATCTGAGAACAGCCGTGAGAGAGCTTAGCTGACAGCAGGACACACCCCATACTCCACCCTCCTGCTCCTACTGCCTTCCTCCACATCCCTGCTTCCACTTCCATCCTCCTCCATCCTCCTCAGCTTCCTCCCTCCTTCTCCCTCCTCCTCCCTCCTCCTTCATCCTCCATCATCCTCCTGCTTCCTCCATCTTCCTCCTTCATATTCATTCATTTCTCTTCATCTTAGTCCCTTAATTAACCAGAAATGGCCACAGCGGAATGAACCGCCAACTATTCCAGCATATGTTTTACACAGCGGATGCCCTTCTAGCTGCAACCCATCACTGGGAAACACCCATACACACTCATTCACACACACACACTCATACACTACGGCCAGTGTAGTTGATCAGTTCCCCTATAGCGCATGTGTTTGGACTGTGGGGGAAACCGGAGCACCCGGAGGAAACCCACACCAACACGGGGAGAACATGCAAACTCCACACAGAAACACCAACTGACCCAGCCCAGACTCAAACCAGCGACCTTCTTGCAGTGAGGCCACAGTGCTGACCGCTGAGCCACCGTGCCGCCTTTCTCCTCTTGTCATCAACTCTGTGCATGTCCTCTTGTTTACAGCGGTGTTTGCTGCTGTCAGAGCTGTGGGCATCGTGTGCTCCTCATAGGAGCCAGAGGGGTTTGATGAGAAGGACACAGAGAGAGATCAAGCACAACATGGAAAACTAGAAACCAAATCTCTATTTTAGCACAAAAAGAAAAGTTAAATAAAGAGAAAAGTGAGAGATCAGCTAGTGTAGAAAAGAGTTATTATATTCTGACAATCCTCCTCATGATGATGATGATGATGATGATGATGATGATGAGGAGGAGGAGATGGTGATGTGGCAGCGCCATCTGCTGGTCAATATTGTTTAATGTTCACTCTATCCATCTAGCAGTGTGATCAGCGCTGAAACAGTACTATAGTATTACCTGACATACACACACACACACACACACACACACACACACACACAGGGAAGATGCCAGTCCATGGGCACAAACAAAGCCAGCAGTGGTGTATTTACTCATGCAGGGCAGCAGTGACTTTCAGCTGTTCAGCTAACACAATAGCAGCCACTGTGCAGAGTGACCAGCAGAGGGCGACAGACTGAAGAACTGAGCATTCACACACACACACACACACACACACACACACACACACACACACACAGACACACACACACACACACACACACACACACACACACACACACACACACACACACACACACTTGTTTACTAAATAAACCTGCTTATTTTAGTTTGATCATTACATGAAAACTAGTACAAAATAAAATAACTAAAATAAATAAACTAGTGATAAATAAAAATACATTTATGACTGAATAAATTACTAAAGAAAATAAATAAACTAGTAATAAA